GACGAAAAAATGAAAATTTTCTTGAAAATTTCGGATTTGACGAAAAAATCAAAATTTTCTTGAAAATTTAGGATTTGACTAAAAAAATGAAAATTTTCTTGAAAATTTCGGATTTAACGAAAAAATGAAAATTTTCTTGAAAATTTCGTATTTGACTAAAAAAAATGAAAATTTTCTTAAAAATTTAGGATTTGGCGAAAAAATGAATATTTTCTTGAAAATTTAGGATTTGACCAAAAAATGAAAATTTTCTTGAAAATTTCGAATTTGGCAAAAAAATGAAAATTTTCTTCAAAATTTCGGATTTGGCGAAAAAATGAAAATTTTCTTGAAAATTTCGGATTTGACGAAAAAATGAAAATTTTCTTGAAAATTTCGGATTTGACGAAAAAATGAAAATTTTCTTGAAAATGTCGGATTTGACGAAAAAATCAAAATTTTCTTGAAAATTTAGGATTTGACTAAAAAAATGAAAATTTTCTTGAAAATTTCGGATTTAACGAAAAAATGAAAATTTTCTTGAAAATTTCGTATTTGACTAAAAAAAATGAAAATTTTCTTAAAAATTTAGGATTTGGCGAAAAAATGAATATTTTCTTGAAAATTTAGGATTTGACCAAAAAATGAAAATTTTCTTGAAAATTTCGAATTTGGCAAAAAAATGAAAATTTTCTTCAAAATTTCGGATTTGGCGAAAAAATGAAAATTTTCTTGAAAATTTCGGATTTGACGAAAAAATGAAAATTTTCTTGCATATTTCGGATTTAACGAATAAATGAAAATTTTCTTGAAAATTTCGGATTTGGCGAAAAAATGTAAATTTTCTTGCAAATTTCGAATTTGGCAAAAAAATGAAAATTTTCTTGAAAATTTCCGATTTGGCGAAAAAAGAAATATTTTCTTGCAAATTTCGGATTTGACGAAAAAATGATAATTTTCTTGAAAATTTCGGATTTGGCAAAAAAATGAAAATTTTCTTCAAAATTTTGGATTTGGCGAAGAATTGAAAATTTTGTTGAAAATTTCGGATTTGACGAAAAAAATGAAAATTTTCTTGAAAATGTCGGATTTGACCAAAAAATGAAAATTTTCTTGAAAATTTCGGATTTGGCGAAAAAATGAATATTTTCTTGAAAATTTCGAATTTGGCAAAAAAATGAAAATTTTCTTCAAAATTTCGGATTTGGCGAAAAAATGAAAATTTTCTTGAAAATTTCGGATTTGACGAAAAAATGAAAATTTTCTTGCATATTTCGGATTTAACGAATAAATGAAAATTTTCTTGAAAATTTCGGATTTGGCGAAAAAATGTAAATTTTCTTGCAAATTTCGAATTTGGCAAAAAAATGAAAATTTTCTTGAAAATTTCCGATTTGGCGAAAAAAGAAATATTTTCTTGCAAATTTCGGATTTGACGAAAAAATGATAATTTTCTTGAAAATTTCGGATTTGGCAAAAAAATGAAAATTTTCTTCAAAATTTTGGATTTGGCGAAGAATTGAAAATTTTGTTGAAAATTTCGGATTTGACGAAAAAAATGAAAATTTTCTTGAAAATGTCGGATTTGACCAAAAAATGAAAATTTTCTTGAAAATTTCGGATTTGGCGAAAAAATGAATATTTTCTTGAAAATTTCGAATTTGGCAAAAAAATGAAAATTTTCTTCAAAATTTCGGATTTGGCGAAAAAATGAAAATTTTCTTGCAAATTTCGGATTTGGGGAAAAAATGAAAATTTTCTTGAAAATTTAGGATTTGGTGAAAAAATGAAAATTTTCTTGAAAATTTCGAATTTGGCAAAAAAATGAAAATTTTCTTGAAAATTTCGGATTTGGCGGAAAAATGAAAATTTTCTTGAAAATTTCGGATTTGGCGAAAAAATGAAAATTTTCTTGAAAATTTCGGATTTGACGAAAAAATGAAAATTTTCTTGAAAATTTCGGATTTGACTAAAAAAATGAAAATTTTCTTGAAAATTTCGTATTTTGCAAAAAAATGAAAATTTTCTTCAAAATTTTGGACTTGGCGAAGAATTGAAAATTTTCTTGAAAATTTCGGATTTGACGAAAAAATGAAAATTTTCTTGAAAATTTCGGATTTGGCGAAAAAATGAAAATTTTCTTGAAAATTTCGGATTTGGCGAAAAAATGAATATTTTCTTGAAAATTTCGAATTTGGCAAAAAAATGAAAATTTTCTTCAAAATTTCGGATTTGGCGAAAAAATGAAAATTTTCTTGAAAATTTCGGATTTGGCGAAAAAATGAAAATTTTCTTGAAAATTTCGGATTTGACGAAAAAATGAAAATTTTCTTGAAAATTTCGGATTTGACGAAAAAATGAAAATTTTCTTGAAAATTTGGGATTTGGCGAATAAATGAAAATTCTCTTGAAAATTTCGGATTTCACGCATTACGTGCAGTTTCGGATTTCAAGCATTACGTGCAGTGAAGGACTCCCTCATTGCTGTTGCTGGGTGTGCTGAACCGCGTAGATTAGTCGTAAAGTGGAGTCTCAACGAGGGCGTTGTGACTGAGAGGTCTACCAGTGATGCTCAGACAAAATATTCCGTAAAACGTGTTAACAATGCTTCCGACCATGTGGCCTTAATGTGTAAATGATTATATATTATTATTATTATTATGTATTTAATCTCCATTGCATAGGGTGTGGTCGCCAAATTCCTCGACAATTAGCCCAAAGGTTGGAAAGGGAGGTAAACCTGAGTTCCCGGCGAAAAACACAGCCTTGTTCGTCTCATCCTCCCTAACATGCCGTACACGCATTCATTGCACTGCTGTATAGAGGCCTACAGACGAGGCTGTTAGTAGCACCGTAGAGCACAACCACAGGGAAGTTACCCTATCCTCAACTTCAGTAGCAGCAGACTTAACGCAGCGGTAAGGGGAAACACCCTAACGGTATCTGTCACCCGTGGCCCCTTCAAGGCAATTTTTGCTGCAACTTGCAACACAATTTCGGACATAGAGAGCAATGTTATCTAAAAAGGAGTCGCAGAGAAATCGTGCGCATGATGCACGGTTTACGCTGCCGAGATGTTATATATGTAAAGAAATTGAAGTGTCGACAGAGTAGAATGCGAGCCATATTCACAATTTCTGTGACAACGTTTTAGATAACATGGCTATAATACATCCAAAGTTGTGTTGCAAGTTTCAGCAAAAATTGGCTCGTGCTACATTTTCTTTACAGATATTATTATAATTTTTAGTTGAGAAATCTTTGCTGATTTGGAACCTTGAAAGTGGAACGATGCTCCATAGAGTTCCTGTTCACACATACACAGGTGATATCAGAGCGTTGGCATTTGTGTCTGGAAGTGAATTTCTTTTGTCAGGCTGGGATTACGAAAATTCTCTGAAATTGTGGAATCTACGCAATGGACTGTTTGTTGAAGAGTTTCATTTCGACCAGGGTGTTCGAGCTATTGCATGTGCTTCAAATGGCATGGTTTGTGTCGGCCTAGAAGTTGGTCGGGTTTGCTTTCTGCGTTTCAATCATTTATCCTCTCATTCGGGACAACTTGAACAATAAAAGTTCAAGCCTTGGATGGGGAGGAGGTCAAAACAAATACAGGGTGTTTAAAAAGGTAATCCACCTTTAGCATGCTTACGAGATTGAGTTTATGGATATTTTTTCCAGCAACAAAATTCAGGCAAGACATTAGTGATTACTTGCTTTTTCTTTTATTGTGTATACTGTTTTAATTATGCGCAGGTGGAAATGTTGTTTCGACCAGCAATTTTTAATCAGCTTGTATTTGGTCATTTGTACTTGGAATGAAACAAGAATGGTCTCATCCATGTGTGTTGTAACGCTAATCTTTATATTTAATTAATATGAGAAAGTTAGAGCTTTACACTCAATATCCAGCGGGCATGCAATTGCACGCTAAAGTTGGATTGCCCTTTTCTTCATACACCGTGTACATACTTTGCGAAAAGGATTGGGCATGCTCTCCCCTGAGAAATTTTGAATTTCCAGGTCGGGGATGGATACGGAATATTGAATGTTGAAAACTAAGTTCAAAACTATGTTGAATATGAATATACCTTGCTTATATTAAAATTCGCGCAGTACTAGAATTCGCGCAGGACTGGGTGCGCAAATTTTAATACTGCGCGAAATATAATCCGCGCGAAAGGCTTTGTATCTAACACTTTTCTGGTTCGCTATGCTTGTAGATGTATATAAAGTCTACGTTTGACGTTTCAATTCAAAAAAGTTCGAAAGATGCAAAGTTTGGGGAATGTTTATATCTGCGGGTCCCCCTTTGTTATAGATAGGTAGGTAGGTAAAACTTTATTTAAAAGATTACACGCTGGCCCCGTCAACTATACGCTGATTTCCACGAGGGGCGTGTGGATTACATGATATTATATAACAAAATATTACACACACTAAACTTACAAATAACTACAAAACAATTATGTACAAAACTAATAACATAATTAATATTAGAAATTATAAGCGTCAATTGCATTTATGAATGTTGGTAACGTATCTGAATCACGCATATCTGCAGGTAATGAGTTCCACAATTTAGCTCCATCATAACAGAAGCTTTTCTTAAGGTTTTCAGTTTTTTGCAAAGGTAGTTGTAGTGAGGTTGAGGAACCCCTAAGATCATATTCTGTTATGTTTCTTTTGCGCACGAAGAGAGTAGCGAGTGAACTTGGAGCCAAATCATTTAGAACTTTGTACATTTGTTTAACTTTAGATTTGGCTCGTCGCGTTTCAAGAGGTTCCCACCCTAGAGCGTTTATTGCTTCTAGACCAGGTGTATTGTACCTTAAATTCATTATTCTTGCAGCTCTGTTCTGCAGTTTTTGAAGTCTGCTGGAGAGCCCCACACCAAGTGTATCCCATACCTCACTACAATAGTCAAAATGAGGACGTATTAAAGCATTATAAATAGAAGACAGAGTTTCTCTGTCAACAAAATCACGGATTCTTCGCATAGCTCCAATTCCAGACGTAACCTTTTTAACTACTACATTTTCAATGTGTTTGTTCCAAGATAGATTTTCGTCAATTTCAACGCCACGAACTGTACTATGTTGGACTTGTTTAATACTGTCATGACCGATGTTAACTGATGATTGAGAATCAAGGTTGTTCAATTTATGATGTGAGCCAATTAAAAGAAATTCCGTTTTTGCAACATTAAGACTTAGTTTGTTGGCCAAAAGCCATTCTTTTATTCGTAAGAGATCATTATTCATGGCCAACCCAACCTCTTCTATAGTTTCTCCTGCAGTAAGATTCGTATCATCGGCAAACAGCCGAGGACTAACTTGTCTAAGACAGTATGGTAGGTCTTTTATGTATAAGAGAAACAAGAGTGGGCCAAGAATGGAGCCTTGTGGGATACCGCATGTAACACGACTCTCAGAAGTTATTACGTCACCAAGTTGACATTTCTGTTTACGGTCGGTTAAAAAAGATTTAATCATAGACAACGCAATTCCGGTGATACCGTATAACTCCAATTTACGCACTAGTATATCATGGTTG